GAAACCGCTATTTTTACCGCTCCAAAAGCAGCACCTAGTGGCAAAGAATGAATTAGCATTTTCATTCTGACCAACGCGAAAAGACCAACAAGTGGGCGGGCAATATGCTAATGTTTCATGTTGACTTCAAGATGAAACGGCTTGGGATTCGTTTTAAAAACGACTCGTTTCAATGATTCAGAGTCGACTCTTTCTTTTGAGAGACAATAACTTTATACACGGAGCACTTTCAGATTTAAAACTTTGCAGGATGTTTTCATTCACTTAGACCTGTGTTACACACTGCATGAAATGTAATTTTCAAAAATACATAATAGGGGCACTTTAAAATTATATCATGATTGACTTGTATTGTAATTGCATAGTAATAATATCTCCTGTCAGGTGATCTATGCTGTTCAGAGGCATAACCGTACGCAAGTTCAGTGGCAGATTCTATTGGACAAGGCTTTTCACTTAGAGGACGTGGCCAAAAATGAGAGCAGCTCCACCCACAAGTTCGTTCACAGCTTCCCTTCTGCCGAACCACCTGGGTGGATCAGCAAGTACCTGTACACGCCCACTGTGGGTGAGAAAACCTGTGAATGCATTCACACTCCTTTGTAGGCGAAAATACATTTCTGTTCTTAATACAATAACACCTTTAAAGCACGAGGGCCTGTTAACAGTGAGCGTGCATACAAAGAAGACTTTAAAACAATGCATTCATGTTGACCCATTCACACCCATTTTTGTCTTTTTTTAATGCCTAGAAAAAGTGCTTTAGTATAAAAAGGTCTATAGGAGAGCATAGTTTAAATTTAAAATGTTTTTCACCCTTGTTTTCAGTGTGGGTGAGAAATACACCTGTATTCCAGCAGTTAAGTGTCATAAGTATATCAGTCATGTATATCTGTGCACCAGGACTAACTGGAACCCATTTTTAAAGCTCAAAAAAACAAATTCTATGCAAGCATATGAATGCAAACACTTTAATTTTATATGCTGTTCTGAAATGTGTCCAAAATAAATTTTTAATGGAAAGCAAATGCACATTCTCAGTGTTGTCACAAGGGCTGCTATTACAAACGTTATCACAAACTTTCTTCTACAGTCAGTGTTCTCTTTCAGATCAAATATTAACATGGTGAAAAAACATTTAGGCTTTTCCAGGCCTGTAAATCACAATTTGACATTTTCAAAAATGAAAATTCTGTCACAATTTATTCACCTTCAAGTTGTTCCAAACCTGTATGAGTTACTTTGTTCTGTTGAACATAAAAGAAGATATTGAAGAATGTTAGTAACCAAACAGTTGCCGGTAGCCATTGACTTCCATAGTAGGGGAAAAAAATTCAGACTTTCATTACTATTTATTTGTGTTTGCTCACTTCAATCTTGTCCAATCTTTTCTTCAACCCATGTTTTACTTAGGTGGCTTCATTAAACAAAGAGTTTTTATTAAACCAGACTGTTGCACAAAAACACACAAGTCTAGTGAGATTGCAACATTTGTGGAACAGTCTTTTGCCGAATGCTGACAGAAATACCAATAGTTTTATCATCAAATGTCAAGCCACTTTGAAAAGACTCTGGAATGGTTGCTTCATTTCAGCACACACGACTAATGTCACCTACCCGTGACCTTACAACACAAAGAGAAGAAGTTGGTTGTCTGGTCGAGGCCATTTTTTTAAGAATGGATGTCAATGGAGGAGAGGCTTCACTACGCAGAATAAACTGCTTTTGTGGGAAAACAGCTTATCGTTTAATGAATCAACAGCCTATATAATATGTTCAACACGTTTACAATTAAACATTCATTTTGGATTGATCTGTTTTTAGAGTTTACGCTGAAAAAGTTATGTTTTTTTAAGACACAGTCACAGACATTTTTGCGACAGGTAGGATTCAGTTTATGGTACTTCTTATTCATTTCCATGGCATCCGCCAATGGTATTTGACTGTTGCACAACTGACAGAATTCAATGACGTTAGGGCTGTGATGTGATTGGTTATCAGGGCCTAAGTTGGCTGTTACACTTTTTTTCAATGGTAGAGCTTGCTATCTCCCAATAATAAGACCATCTCTGGATGGAAGTCTGTGGGATTTTTGCCTCTTTTGTCATCCAGCGTCTCGTCAACAAGCCAGACAATTTGAGGTGTCAATCATGTCTGAAGCACAAACATTGCACAGTTGTATATTTAGCGTTTGAGGTTTGCTCAAATCACTAACCTTGAGTAATAAATGTTGTAAATAAGCAGTTTGAATATGTCGTAACCTCGTGCATCTCTCTCTGTGTCCTGTAGAGTGGTACTGGGAGTGTGTTTTCCGCCGGTGGTGTTATCGCGTGCTGGCTGTGGTTTTGTGCGTGTTCTCTGCAGCCGTGGTCTGGTCTGAATGCACCTTCTTCAGCACACAGCCCGTTCTGTCTCTCTTCGCCGTCTTCATCCAGCTCGCAGAGAGAGACTACAACTATGTTTACATAGAGGTGAGGAAACACAAGTGCAATTACACACATGTACTGGAGAAGGCTGCATATGGCCAATCAGAAAACTGCATACTGCCGTTAACACGGCTAAAGGCTGAAGCCAGGGTCCAAAATTAACACCAAGATGAAAATTTATATACATATACAATTACAATGAACAGCCATCCAATGCAGTTAACAGTGTTTGTAGCAAGAGCTTATTTGCAACACTAGTCTCTAGAAAGGCTTTTATAAACTACAAAAATAAAACCCTAAAACATACTGAAACTGTAAAAAAGTGCTATATAAATAAATGAAATTTTAGGCATTCTAGATCAAATTTGGATACTAATTATCCATCAAGGTAAAAGTTTGAAGAAAAGCTGGGGCCTGTACCATGAAGCCGGTTTAGCTGGCTAGCCAGGTAAGTTTCAGTTTAGTTTGCACCAATCCTGGGTTTTAAGTACCATGAAAGTGGCTTGGCTTTTAGTAGTGTTCATCACCATAGTAACTTACGTTCCACAGCTAACCTACTCCAGGGCAGGTTATGTTCTGGTTTAGAAAAGATTGGAAAATTGACCAATCAGCTTCAAGCAAAGTGACACATGTCTGACACAATAAAGCCACTCCCCCAGTATCTCTTGCTCCAAATTAAAGGACGCTATAAAGTAAAACATTTTTAAAGATAAAATTGTCTGATTTTTAGAGATGATTATTTTTTTATAATTATTTGATATGATTTATATAATTATTATACCCTTAATCTGTTACACAAGCTAGCTTAGTTCAATAGTAATTAAGATTTTATTTTAAATTAATATAAACATATAGATAATATGCGATATAAATAAGTTTTAGAATCAATAGCTTTAAACATGACTATATATGATGTTTTCTTTAGGTTTCCCTCTTTCATGGATAGATCATTTAATCTTGTAAATGTGTTTAAATTCTTCATATTGTTCAATCTTTTAATCTTTGGTAGTGAATTGCACTGACTCTCTCACGAGAAGTGAATCACAGTTTCAAGGCATGTGATTGGCTGTTCATTACTGATGTCACACTTTCATGTGCACATGCTCCATTAACTCAGGATCAAGCCTGAGTTGACAGAGAAAGCTGATGATCAGCTTCATGGTACCAACAAAGCCAGATTGGAGTGGTTTGGTTTTGTCAACTCAAAACTAATCCTGTAACCCTGAGTTTGTTCAGCCACCATCATGGTACAGGCCCCAGGTTTTTACTTGAACTTGCGTGTATTAATTTCTGTACTTAATCTCAAACTGAAACTTTGTTTGTAAACCATTTTACTTTCATAATAACTCATTTGATCTAATCGCAACAGGCCTTAGAATGACTGTAAATGATCACTGGGGCTGGATGATATTTGTGTTTTTTTCCCAGCTTTTTATTCAAAGTTTAGTTTCAAAACTTTGATCTGAAATGGTTTAAAAAAAATGGTTTTCCAATCAGAATATAATTGAACTTTTATGCTTCTAAAATTTACATACATATATTTATACGCCTGTGTTCACATTTCCGTAGGTGATGTGGACTAATCTATAGTAGTCAACATTTGAAGTGGATCAAAAAACTTAATCAAAGTTGTCCTAAGAAAACAACACATTTTTTGGTTTTAGGACAACTTTGAAGAAAGGTTTTGATCCACTTCAAATGTTGACTACTATATATATATATATATATAAATTTGAAGAAAAAAAATTATATTAAATATATAATGTATGAAATATATAATATTATTTTAATTATTACAAATAGTATATTATATAATTATATAAAATTATATATATATGAAATGTTCGGTTAAAAAACTGAAACCTGTGCATTGTTATTTTGTCTTTGTCCACTAGATGGCGTGTTTTGTCACCATATTTTTCTTGTGTTACTGCGTGTACTCCACTGTGTTCCGGATCCGAGTCTTTAACTACTATTATCTGGCCCCACACCACCAGACGGACGCCTACAGTCTGCAGTTCAGCGGCATGTACGAAACACCATGTGACTCTTACAAAAATCATCTGCGGCTTGTTTCGATTAGTTGCTGTATCAGTAATCCGCATATAATTCTGATTGCTATGCAGGTTGTTTTGTCGTTTGACCCCTCCGCTGTGTCTGAACTTTCTGGGTGTGATTCACATGGATTCCACCATCTCCCATCAGACGAGACAGCCGACAGCGTACACTTCAGTGAGTCACACACCACCCTCACGGAAAAAATATGATCACGTTTCTGTAAAATTAGCATCAGTAAGTAATGCACCAATAAGGATTAAATTAAGCAACGTTTAGAACTAATCAAGGATTGAAAAAGCTGTTGCACCACTTAATTTTAAACACAGATGAACAAAGATTAGAATTCTAACCTGTGATTAAAACCTTCATGTACAGGTCAATTTAATTGTAGGTGATTTTTATTATTATTATTATTATTATTATTTAAACCTCCTCACCTGCAATTTTAAAGTTAATCTCTAACAGATTCAAATCAAATAATGTGTAATATAGTGTAATATATCTTTAAGAAATTGAATTGGCCACACAAAAGACAATAGTGTTATTATTTAGTTCAAGTCAGTTCAGTTAATCTCAATAACTGTAAAGTTCATCAATTGTGATATAAAAAGTTTATTCAGTATATCACCCAGCCGTACTGATTCTTATGGCCACATAATCTCTCTCTATCTCTTTTTGTTAGATAATGGGATCCATGCAGGTTCTCTCATTTATCGCAAATGGATTTTATATTTATTATCCTATGCTCATCGTTTTGCTCTGCATTGCAACTTACTTCAGGTGAGATTTCACTCCAACACAGATTCTCACAAAGTTGGCTTTTAAATAATATAGAGACTGTTGTTGGCAAACTGTTAGCTCTTTGTTTTTCCTCATGTTGTTCTAGTCTGGGCACACGCTGTCTGAATTTGCTGGGCTTTCAGCAGTTCGTGGGTGAGAATGATCTGACCTCTGACCTGGTGGACGAAGGACGGGAACTCATCCGGAGAGGTACTACAGACACCGGCCCTTCATTCAAACTCTCATCAGTTCTATGTTAATACATTTTATTGTATTTTATTCATTTTCATACACTTAAAATTACATTAAATGTTTTGTCAATTATTTGATCTAATTGTAACATTCCTAAGAATGACTGTAAATGATTTCTAGGACTGGATAATATTGCTGAATTACATATATCATAATTTTTCAGTCTTTTATTCAAAGTATATCTTCATATATTCATTGGATCTGAAATGGCAAAACATTTTTTTTATCAGAATATAATTAAAAATTGATTAATATATTTATTTTGTAATTAACAAAATATATTTTAGTATATAGTTTTTTTTTTAAAGTTTTTAGTATATATACGTATAGAAGTATATTTAGTATATATACCTATAGAATTAAAAAATATATATTA